AGGGAGAGAGAGAGAGAGATTTGCCATACTGTCCTGCCAGTCGTAATCAGTGCAGCTTTTTTTGGCATAAATTGCTTTGTTAATGCAGCGTGAGTTCACAATCATAAATAACGTTTAAAAAACGCTTTTTAGGGTGCAGTTCAAGTTTTCATGACAGTGATATTATTCAGACTGGAGCACTCTTGCTGTGCGCAAGTACGATTCTTTTCTATACCTATTTATTGCGCTAATGAAACAAAGCTTTCATCGCAATTTTATTAAAAAGCAATTGTGATCCTCTTAGTCAACACAGACGACATCGACGATTTTGTAACACTTGCAGCATCTTAAATTTGTAATCGCTGCCCAGTGTACCTGTCACCCAAAATAAGATCATGTCAGTGTTTGTCGGTGGAAAAAATAGACATAGATCAAGCCATTCTCTTAATTCGTCTTTCGGTGATTCTGCGTGAAACAGAATCTGAAGCATATGGAGTGGAAGATTTATGCTGATCAATGTGTCATATGGCCGACAGCTTGGTTGGGTAATCCTTTTGCTCGATTACAAAATGGCTATTTTGAGCAGACAAAAGCGCATTTCTGTTAGCACACATCAATCTGGTGCGGGGCAAAGGGCAGTGAACCATAATCGCGGACCGGCAGATCCCAGACGAGGAAAGCTTCTGGATTATGTGTGCCCTACTGGCTATTCTCTTCCAGTTCTCTTATCCTTATACTCCGCTCCTCTATTACTTCTTTATCAGTTGCCGTAATTGCGTCATTTGTTACCTCAAATCTGCTAGTAAACAGTTACGTCTATCTTTGCGCATTTGCTTCCCCGTTTAGAACATATTCAGGCCTTATGCTATTCCTTTATTTTCGCACTGGATTCAGTTTTACTTTCCTAATCGACCGCCCTCAAATCAGAATTTCCCAAACAAATTCATAAGGCTCTAATTTCGAAACACCAGATCATTTCGGAAATCGCGAGTTCCTCAAATATTTTCACAGTTTCTATGCATTTTTTTTTTCTTTTTTTGTATCAGAGTGCGAAAGTGAGATCCAAGCTGCGTCTGTCTGTCTAACAGCGTGTTATAAATTCAGAACTACGAAAGTTTGGAAGCTAAAATTTTCGAACAAAGTCACCAACCGCATACTGACACTGGAAGACCGCTTGATAGGGGGTCGCTATAGCATTAGCAATTAACGGAGAAATTTTTAAAGTGTCCTATCCCACTTTGAGATTCCCAGCTAAGTGACAGTTTATCGATGAATCAGCTTATTTATGGCAGATGAAGTTGGTAAACCTTGTGAAAAATTTACTTGACAGTTATTAATCTTGCATCTAAGTGCATGCTGCATCAATTCGAACGACAGATGGAGAAAGTGCCCAGCAAAGATTTTTAATAGTGCTTGCTTCCGAGAACAGCACACGCATCCAAAACACGAATAAGTTGGGGATGTTTCCTAACAGCCTCACTGGAAGGCACCTCCTACCGCCCAGTGATACGTTGCTCGATTAGCACTTCAAATGACAATTAATTTTGCAGTGCAGCCAACCTCGGATAAGCTAATGCTATTTGGCGGAGAAGGACATCTTCAGTGCCAGGAAACATGGGATACTAACATTTACTCAATCGTCGCCGCATTCGTCAATCGCTCCAGCGGGCATGTGTGCATGCTATCCAACATCCCAACATCATCCACACATTCACATTGGAGTTCCGTTCGGCAATCAGCTGTGCTCACAGCTTTTCATGGGCAGTTCGGACTTCCAGCACTCGCAGCTCAAAGCGCTTAAATAGTACAGCAATTGTTATCACGCACCCATCCTTTCCAAACAAGTGTATTTTTTAATCGAAAATCCTTTCAGTCTCATCTGATAAGACAAAAAAATTGAAGCAAATTATCGCTTTGTTTCATCCAGCAACACAAGGTTGCACTTCCATCATTTTTATTCCAACTGCACGAGCTTCTGCAATTCTCGTCTGTTTTTAGGTCCCACAAGCTTGTGCGCATATTCATTAACTAGCTATTTCGAAATCTTGTTTGTATGCATGATAATTTCGCTTTGAGGCTACGAGAGCTCAAGGCACTGAAAAAATTTTAAAAATGCAACAGCCAGAAAATGTTGCTTTGTTAAATTCTCTCGATCATATTAACTTGATCGAGAGAATCAAGTTAATATGATCGAGAGAATTTAACAAAGCGTGTTAAAACCTTGGGGTAGAAAAAGTTCATTTCGTAACACAGAAGGAGTGGGATGGCACTATAACTGTGGAACTGAGCAGCCAAGGACTACTTGAAAACTTGCAGCTTTAAACCACTGCTCAATGCAAGTGAATAACCTAACACCAACTTACAAATCCTTTTGTTTTTTTCTACTTTCATTGATCGCAGCTTCAGACGCAGGATAATGCAATAAGTTTAGAATGAAGCAGAAATGGAGTCAAAATTCTGACGAACTGCAACTTTCACAGACTGTATCCAAGCATGGGACTGATCCCTTATCTCCCACTCTATTACTTCAGGTGGTTTGAAAGACCATTTCAATAAACTCGCATTGGCATAGTGTATGTATTCTAGCTAAGCAGCATTAGAGGTAACAAATGCATGTTGCTAGCAATTTGAATTGTTGTAAGCACTCACAGCATATCTCGAATGTATATATCGTCTTTTTGCTAATTTCTCTTTCTTGCGGTTTCACCGTTCCGATTTCTATTGCTCCAGAAAAAGTTACTGAGCTCCAGTGCATCACAAAATAGATATAGTTTCGACGATAGCTTTTGTTCGAATAAAAACTGGAACCAATTGTTTCTGCTTCAAGTCAAGTTATCAGGTTACCTAAGTGAAGTTGCCATCGAACTGCCGCTGTTCTGATTTCAGCAGAAATGATTCTGGCATGTCAAAAATCTTTTTTACAGCTCTGATGCATCGATAAGAGCAATTGCGGGTACTGACTCGCAACCCACATTGTGGCACGATCGCTATTATTTTGAAAAAGAAGGAAGGTGTTTTCGAATAAGTTCGGTAAGAAAAAGTTTTTGATAATTATTTGAAAAAAAAAGACTCAGAAATGTTTTTTTACCGCTCACCTATTCGTACTCCACTTTGTTGTTCGTGTTCTGCTATTAAAAAATTGCTTTCTGTTAACGAGTTGAAAATTTAAAAATGTAAAAATGCTACCAGTCCTTACGAGAGCAGAATACATTTCTCAAATAAAAAGGGATACATTCGCTTTTTACCTTCCCCCTCCAGACCTCATATTCCCTCTCTGTGGCCTTCGGGATATTTCCAACTACTTTCTTCTTACATGGAGAGCGAGTACACAGAGAGGGTTTTGACAGTTATTTGTAATATTATCCCTCTTGCATTACTGTTACATGTAGATTCAATTGAATTCATGCCCTCAGTATTTATTTATGTACATAACCCTGATCAGTGACAGAGCAAATAGCCACATTTTCTTCGCAAGTGACAAAATGAGAGCTAATAGCCGCAAATCAATCTAATTTTACACTAGAATTCATTTTTTTCATCTTAGTGCAGTGACTTTCTATTTGTTTCAATATCCTTGGTATCTGGAAACATGAATAGCGGTAACAGCAGGTTTACATATCATGATCCCACTGATAATATATCAGTAAACAGCCCACTGACTGCCAGGATTTTTTAGTTTTTTCAAAGATTTTTGCAAAACGAAATGTATTTGTTACGTAATCGTCGTTGGCTGGTTTTTTTGCAGTTAGATGTCCGAATGAAACTGTTGTGAAATTTAAGTTCAGTCCTGTTTGTGCAACCTCTTTAAGCGAAAAGCGATCACTCATTTATAGCTTGAGCGACTGAACTGTTACGGCGCCAATAAGATTCTTGATGATTCTTTTTTTCTTCACTATCGCCATTGAAACGAAATTATGCTCGTCCGATTTTCCCATATTGAGCCGTCGTGAACTCTGTAAATAATGAAGAGGAATCTAAATCCCCAACTACTTTTTGAAACTTTTTGCATGTAGCAACGTAATTAAGTGGCAAAAGAAAAACAAATGAAGCCTTTTCTGTCCTTCGCTTTTGCGCTAAAAGAATGCCAAAATCATACGTACGATAAAGTGACGACCGGTACACATGATGCATTTTTGGATGAGAGCTTGTGGCAGCAGTGGAAGTAGACCAGATGGTAAAAGAACATGTCTAGTGATAAGCTCATTTTTTATCACGTCGTGTTGTTTCTCCATTTGTACTTCCATCAATTTCCTGTTAATTCGTTCATTAAAAACACCTCTCTTCTTCTCTTCCTCTACTTTTGGCAAGCGTGAATGATTCGCAGAACTTTGAGATTGACCTGCTTGAAAATTTGCTTCGATATCTGGCGTTGACAAGGTTGTCTAAGCGATTGCTTCCGGACCCAGGACGCATGCGTCCGGTTTCCATCCTGCCTCTTCCCTCCCCTTGACTCTGTTTCTTAGTTGCGCTGTCCCGTAGTAAATGTATTAAAGTTAGCTTTAAATTTGCTTACGAAGCCCCTGGCACCATACCTTCCTCACCCCTTGTACCTCGTTTCCCGTAGGTTACTCTAACATTCTCCTTAGCCTCGCATTTCAGTATCATCTTCGCAGTTTACTGGTCTAATAAATCATCATAAATCCTTTGTCTAGCTCTTGATATTTGCATGTATTGCACGATGCGACTGCAACTCAGATACAGCTTACGTATTCCGAAATGTCTTGGAGTTGTCTCAGCGACTTTTAGACTATCCTACAGAATTGAGCACTACGTTTTCTCAGTGGCTTTGAAGTCAGTAGTTTTTTCTGGTAAAGTACTTTTCGTTCTTCGGTTGCTCTTTCAGATTGTGTGCTTGTAACACC